GAGCAGATCGGGAAAAAACTAGGTGGAAGCTATGATAAAGGAGGAATAAGAAAAGTGTATATGGCTCAAGGGATAATAAGAGGTACTGGAGCAAAATGTTAAAAAGTACGACAAACTTTTGGTAAAATCTGGTCAAGGTGTGAACTTTATTTATCTTATTTGCAACTAATAGCCAAACTTCTGGTCCTGCCAGCAGTAAGATAAAAAATTAATCAAAGCAACTATAGCAGAAGGCATGAGGTAGAAGCAGTTCGATTTAGTGTTTTGCCTCGTATTTTAAAATTACAAAAACTCAGAAAAATTTACCACAGTTTTCGTGTAGAATCATAAGAAAATACTTGAAAACCACTATTACTGATACAATACTTTATTTGATATGATGGTTTTAATACGCATTTTTATTTTTTTATTTTCTGCTGTACCAGCATTATTGGTAAATCTTCATTACATGCAAGCTTGCTATGAAATTATCCGTGAAGACATTAAAATAAAATGTATTTATTAGTCAAAAATTGTCTTCATTTACTTTATTTAAAGATTAATGCAGTGGTATTTTCTAAATGTAAAGTTAAAAGACTCTAAAATCTACAAATTTCCATTTATTTTAACAAGCCTACCATTTTTTTTGTGAAAGATCAGTTCAATTTGCAACTCAGTTTGTTCCTGGAGTGCTGTAGAAATACGTTGTCGAGAGTCTATATTGGTTTTTTCACCCCAGAGAAAACTACAGGAGCAACACCTTGACATTATTTGACCCCGACTATAGCCAGTAAGTTCAACAAATCCATCCGAACAGTAGACAATAGGGTACTCGCGTACTTGTGCATTTCCTAATACAAAATTGCTATCTAAAAGGAAGAATATAATTATCTTGATAAATATCTCATTTATATTCTTATAGTATTATATAAAATCTATATTTACGGAAGTTATATTATTAAGACAACATTATAAACATTAGTGACTTTAATATAGACAAGTTTGAATTAATGCATTGAAGCTTAAAGCATGCTCATGTGTTACGCAATATTATAATTGCATCAATAATTTAAGATAAGCTTAATATCTAAAGCAACTTAGACATATTTAACATACCAGTACCGTTTAAAATTCTCAAACATGTTTCATAATTATAGTCGTTACATTTTTCTTAATTATGGAAATAAATTAAAATAATGAGTCTTAATTGACTAGTCAAAGATTTCTAAAATTAAAAATATGAATTCTATTCTGGACCCATTATAGATATCTTCTTCACTTACCTATTTTAAACTATAAATAACAAATAGAAAATGCCATATCTCTTCCCGCTCACTACTAGATAGTGAATCGTATATGATGAAAAACGCCCGTAATAATACGTTTTTTAAAGCTTAAATACCCTTATGAACTCGGTGTAGGTAAATAAATATAAGATAATATTATATACCGTGTTATTATTATTATTATGTTATTTTAGATTTTTGTATTTGCAAGCGAATAAAATGTAATTTTTTATTAAACCATAGGGTGTTTGCATAGAATTTAGACGAGATATTAGATGAATTTTGGCTTACCTGTAAAGGCCTGCTTGAGAACTTACTAACTCTAAATATAGGAAGTCATTTTCATAGCGGTTGCTTTACAATGTGTGGTATATCGTTTACAACTATTCGCTTCGTTTGAAAATAGGTGACAAATATTTTAGCCATACCATATTATGCCTTGCCTAAGAAAGTTTAAAGAGATCTCTTAGCATCCAATACATTGTAAATTCATAATTTCCTAACCGTAAAGTTGGCGCGCAAATGAAAAATATAATTTTACTTTGATTTAAGTCAATTCCTGCAAACTTGGAAAAATCTATATATTCCCGTTCTAAATAGTATTATTTGATAATGGGTAAATAGTCAAAAGTTATCTCTTGGATAATACTATTGAAAGAGCACAAATGTATTTTTAAGAAACTACATTTCCGCCTATATTTAAGCTATCATTTCTGTAGGTCAATGGCTCAAGTCAGATGATACACTTCACCACTTTTAGTTTCCAATACCAAAATATATAAATAAAATCGAATTTTAAGACTTATTTAAATGTTAAGTTACATAAACAATATTTGAACCTTCTCAAAGAAAAATTCCTCCTTGGCTTGTCAAAGATATATTAGCTTATGAACGCAAGTAGGCATTCATCAATATAAGAAAATCTTTACATTGAACCTAACTGTTAGGTAAAGACATTCATAGACTATTAAAAGTCAGCAATATCGAAAAATATTCAAATATTCTGACAAGTAAACATTAATTATGAGTGCAAAATTCTAAGCTTTTTATTAAATGATTGCTTATAATTAATTAACAACAAATTTTTCTTTTAATTAGTTAAAAAATTGACAGTTTTATTTGCAAAAAGTAGTCAATCATCGCTGGCCGTGATTTAAGGGATGAGAGTTGATTTTTACTAAAAAGGCGAGTGGAGATCACTTGACATTGCCGTAAATAGCTTAACTTGTAAAAATCTTAT